TTAAAGGATGATGCAGCGTGGACATTCGGATAAGCCTGCACCTAAACAAATATTGGAAATAAATTTTTGCTATGTCAAAAAAGAAACACTCAAAGGCAGTGGCCACCATGGCTGGAGTACGGCGCGGTTTTGTATATGTCAATGGTGGACTACACCCAAAGCGTGCTCGGGGTTCCTTATACCATTCACTTTCAATGACGTCATCAAAACCGCACCGCCCACCAACCATCGTGATCACTGCATATGAACACCACTACTGGTCCATATGTGCAGGTGTGAAAGGTTGAAAATATATCTTGAATTGAAAAACAAACTCGAACGTGTAACTTTGTGCGAGACTTAGTAAATCACTGCACATATAGGACTGACACGCCATAAATTTTGGGATTCACACAACCAAATTTTTACTTAGATCACCTCCTTTGCTAGTTTTTGTTTGATGGTTTGCACTTTTTCTTCAACGTGTCTTAGCAAACCATTGCTTTCAACTCCGCCCATCTCTCTGCTCACTTCGCCCATCAGGAACTCTCTACTGCTCCGCTAATTTCTACCTATTTTTTACGGCTTCTAAGACGCCCTGCGACGGAGCTGTGAATTTTTATAGCCAGCCACGTAATTGGGTGCACGTTTATATCAGGCACGCTTAAAATTCATGGAAATTGCTCCTCTCAACCATTTTTTCTGCTCTACAGTTGCTTTTAAAAAACACCTTTGGTTTTTAGTAAACTAATTTCGAATATCAATTAGTTTGAGAATGCACAGCCCACCGCGAGCTACTCTTTTTCTCTAGTGTTCTGCACACAATGTCCAGGTTTTCGGACGCTCTGGAAGCGAATCAAGAAGTCCCACCCTTGACACCGCACATTTGAATGCATGCCCCGCCCACTGGCGGCGAGGCTCCGCCCGGCTCATGTGTGTTATAGCTATCTGAAGCATTAGCGATGCGTTTTTAAATATTCACAGGACCTCTAGAACTCAACTACTGGGCATCTTCTCTAATTGGATTCACCAAAGCCGAAATTTAATCATTCACCATATTCTTGGAAATCAAACCTCTGCATAGTTACATGCACTTAAAACACCAGCATTGTGCAATTTTTGAGAGGGAATCAGACTCAAAAAAGGGCGGCGATCATCACAAGTCTGCAAAAACACAAGCAAACGTGCAGAAGCAAAGCTATATTTTGCACGGGTGTCAAAGGCAGTGAACGCAGTGGCTGAAGGGAGGAGTGGTTTTGATGGCGTCATAAACATCATTGGTGGATCAGACCCCTTAGCGCGCTGGAAAGCGTGGTTGATACCACGCCCCTACGTCCTTCCACCAATTACGATAAAGTCCGTCACCAAGATTGCCCCGCCCCTCAGCCATCGTTTCCACTCCCTTAAGGGAAACAAGTAGCGAAATAATATAGCTAAAAGCATAGAAACACCACGAAAACAGCAAGAAGTGAAAGAAACGAAACGATGTGCTGTAGAAGTGCGAGTGGCTCGACGTTGTGACATCCGGTAAGATAAAAACTCACATAAGGAGACCAATGTGGATAAGCTGGTATCTAAAGAGAAATAATAAACCAATCAGCTGGAAAGATGAACCAAACGAAGATGCAAACAGAAACATAGTACTGAAAAATCAATGATAGGCATACGTTGATGCAACTCCTAAATTATGCCCCTGCATGCATTTTTCAGGACACAGACTGCGATTGGATCTTTAGAGATGTACTGTTTTAAAGTGGGGTAGCAGAACGCCTAATTACATGGGTGGTAGGAATGTCGCGTCCCGAAAGTGCGCGCAAGAGAGCCGATGTCTTCTCTTAACCGCTGCGACCGCTGCGACCGCTGCAATTCATATCAACAGCAATACGTAGCATCTTCGCTATCGCGCACGACGGGTTCCCCCCGTCTTCTCTCTCCTCGCAGCGCTGCTTCTTCCCGTTGTACCACGGTCAAACTCACAGGAAAATTTTTAGTGTTTCTATGTTTTTTTTTGTTTTTCCCCAAGTAACGTTCTTTCTCGCATTTCTTGCTCGATCGTGACCCGTCCTTCAGAATTTTGGAAAGCCATTTTTCGACCTATGAAGTATCCTTCTGGTAAGTATGAACCCTATCAGTACAGCTTCAAAAAATTCGGGTCATTTTCGCTTTTTTGTTTCTGCTTACTTTTCCTAGGCCGTAGGAGACAC